GTTAGGCGACGTCGTCCATGCCAAGGCCGAGTTTGCAGCGTTGTCCGACGTTGCCAATGTCCGCTCTGTCACGTCCGGCACCCGCAAGGAGTTCCTTCGCGACCTCGACGCCGGTGTCTACAACGATGTTGTCGCCATTTCTCGCACCTACGACTCGGTGGCGATTACCGGCCGCTTTGACCAGGAGCTTGTGCTCCATCTACCGCCGTCGGTGAAATTTGTATCGCACAACGGCGCCGGCTACGACCAGATCGACGTCAGTGCCTGCACGGCCCGCGGCATCAGCGTGTCCAACACGCCCGGTGCCGTCAACGATGCGACCGCCAATACTACCCTATTCCTCATTCTCGGTGCCCTGCGCCGCGCGTGGATCTCCCAGACAGCCATCCGTGCGGGCGAGTGGCGCGGTTCATCACCGTTGGGCCGGGATCCAAACGGTCTTCGGTTGGGCATTCTGGGCATGGGCGGCATTGGGGCTGCCACGGCCCGCCGGGCGGCCGCCTTTGGATTTGCTGTGCAGTACCACAGCCGCAAGCCCGTGGCCGGTCCCGACGGCAACCTAGGCCAGTACGTGTCGTTTGACGAGCTGCTGCGCACAAGTGACGTTATTTCGGTGCACGTGCCGCAGTCGCCCGCTACCGTCGGCTTGTTAAATGAGGCAGCATTCGCAAAGATGAAGGATGGTGTGATTGTTGTCAACACAGCGCGCGGCCCAATCATTGACGAGGCGGCGCTGGTGCGGCACTTGGAGTCCGGCAAGGTGTGGAGTGTCGGCTTGGATGTCTTCGAGCAAGAGCCCAAGGTGCATCCGGGTCTGCTAAGCAACCCGCGTGCTGTGCTACTGCCACACGTGGGCACATTTACGGTGGATACACAAAAGCGGATGGAGGTGCTAGTGATTGACAATATTACGAGTGCCGTGGCAGGGAAGGGATTGTTGACACAGGTGCCTGAGCAGAAGGTGCTCAAGGCGAGTTTATAGCGGAGAGTGAGGTTGGATATGTAGACATTTGCGAGCAGGATGAATATTGTTGCATCAAATGAAACCAGGTCTAAATCTATTGTCCACAATATGCCTTCCGCTGGCACTTACCGGCCCATCCAGCCGCCGTCCACCGTCAGAATCTCGCCACTGACGTATGCACTCGCCCGACTGGCCAAAAAGATCACAGCCCCCTTAAAGTCCTCCGGCAGACCCCACCGCCCCGCCGGGATCCGCGCCAGAATGCTCGTCGCCCGCGACTCGTCGCTAATCAGCGCCGAGTTCATGTCCGTGGCAATGTAGCCGGGCGCAATCGCGTTTACCGTCACGCCCTTGCCCGCCCACTCGTTGCTCAGCGCCTTGGTCAGCTGCGCCACGCCGCCCTTGCTGGCTGCGTACGCCGGCACCGTGATGCCGCCCTGGAAGCTGAGGAGCGAGGCCACGTTGATGATGGTTCCCCGCCGGGTTGTGCCCTCGTAAAAGGGCTGCTCCAGCATGTGTGCGCCGACATCGCGGCACAGCTCAAAGACGGAGCCCAGGTTGACTTGAAGCACCTCGTCCCAGTCATTGTTGGGGAACTGGTGGGCCGGGTGGCGACGCTGGATGCCAGCACAGTTGACGAGAATATCGATTCGGTGTCCGTCCTTGAGGACCGCCGGTACAAGGGCAGCGACGGACTCGCGCGACGAAATGTCGACGTTGTAGAGCGTGCACTTCCGGCCGAGGGCCTCAACCTGTGTCTTGGTCGCCGTATCGGCGCCAGAGCGCTGACGTATGTTAGTAGAGAAGACTGGATAAAACTGTCTGTTGCAGTTTGGGGCCGGACACACCAATGCCAAAAGGATGTCGGCGCCCGTTTCCGCCAGAGCGACGGCCATCGCCTGGCCAATGCCCCGCGTGCCGCCTGTGACGAGGGCCGTCTTGCCAGCGAGCGAAAACAAATCCATGCTGCTTGATGTGGTGGTATGGTTTAGAAGCAAGATTCGGGTGTGATGCAGTGGCCGTTGGTGACGCTTGAGTTGATCTCTGGCTCTGTAGTCTCGAAATGGTCAACAATCAAGCTATATTGGTCCAGCAGCAGTGTTCCTGCTTTTGGTGTGCGGGGGAGCTAAAAAGGTGGTGCTCGTCACTAGTGCCACCTTCGGCTATTGAACTATTTTCAACAGCGGTATTCTGTAGTGTTCGTAAAATTTTGCCTGTTTCCTTCCCAATTCGTCTCCAATTCGCAAACCACAGCGACAAGCAAACGCCGAATCAGCCCGTCAGTGTCCCTAGCTCCAGCTGTCCCCAGCTGTCCCGCAGCGGGCCTCCGCAACCGGCCCATATTTTTACCACGAACCAAGGCGCGCTGTTGTCCCTCTAAGTGCTGTCCATAGCTGCCGTTGGCTCCTTCCCCGAACATTAAGCATCTCTCACAAAAGCTCTCCTTCTCGAACAAGCGATTCATCCCCGGTAGACTCTCCTCATTCTGCCCACCACGGTCCTGTTTCTCTGCAATCTTCTAAAGCTTTGCAACATCCTCCCTCTTTTGACCCAACTCTACGACGACACCAGCTTCATGCCCTCCCCTCCGCCCACACACAACAACATGTCGACATCACAAACACAAACTATAAAGGCGTCCGTTCTCCATGGTGCCAAGGACCTGCGTCTCGAGGATCGGTCCCTCGAACCCCCCGCCGCCAGCGAGGTGCAGGTCGCCGTTCGCGCTACCGGCCTCTGCGGCTCCGACCTTCACTACTACGGCCACTACCGCAACGGCGACATTCTCGTGCGCGAACCTCTGTCACTCGGCCACGAGTCGGCCGGCGAGGTCGTGGCCGTCGGTCCGGGTGTTTCGTCCCTAAAGGTGGGCGACTTCGTCGCTCTCGAGGTCGGCCAGCCCTGTGGCACCTGTGCTCGCTGCGCCGAGGGTCGCTACAACATCTGTCCGGAGATGCGCTTCCGCAGCTCGGCCAAGTCGTTTCCACACGCACAGGGAACGCTGCAGGACCGCATCAACCACCCGGCAGCGTGGTGCCACAAGCTGCCGGCCTCCATGCCGCTGGCCGTCGCGGCGCTGCTCGAGCCCTTGAGCGTGGCCATCCAGGCGACCCGGCGAGCCAACCTGTCGGCTGGCCACAAGACGGACAAGGTGCTCGTTCTGGGCGCCGGCGCAGTGGGCCTGCTGGTGGCCGGTATGTGCAAAGTGGCCGGCGTCCCCAACGTGGTGATTGCCGACGTGGACGCCAACCGCGCGCGCTTCGCCGTCGAGCACAGGTTTGCCGACACCCGTTTCGTCGTGCCCATGGGCCCGCGCCCGGCGACCACGGACGAGGCGCTCGCCACCGCGCAGCAGACGGCCGCTGCAGTGGGCGCGCTCGAGAGCAAGGGCGGCATGGTCGGACAGGTCGACGTGGTGTTTGAATGCACGGGCGTGCCCTCGTGTGTCCAGACGGCCATGTACGCGACGCGACCGGGCGGCAAGGTGATGCTGATCGGCATGGGCACGCCGGTGCAGACCTTGCCCATTTCAGCGGCGGCGCTGCGCGAGGTGGATATTTGCGGTGTCTTCCGGTACGCCAACACGTACGCCGAGGGCATTGAGATCCTGTCGCGGACAGACAACGACGGCCCCGACTTTGCAAGCTTGGTTACGCACGAGTTCAAGGGCCTGGCGGCCGTTGAGGATGCCTTTGCCATGGCGAGCCGGAAAGAGGACGACGACGGCAAGCTGGTGATCAAGGTGCTGGTTACAAACTAGAAAGAGGAGTACAGCGCTGATGGATCATGGATTCGATCCCGGATAGGATATAGAAGACATTGGTCTGGAAAACGTAAAATTGATGGAGTTGACTGGCTATGAAATATACTTGGATACCTTGGCTGACAAGTCACTCCCTCTCCTCCATCTTGGTCCAGTCAATCTTGTCGCCATACAACACGCACGTCACCGGACCCAGAAACAGTGCGCCGTAACTGGACATTTTCAAAAAACAGAACGCAAGCGGCGTCTTTCCGTGTACAAAGAGAATTGCTTTCGCTGTGCGGCGCAAATGGACAACGGCCTTGCGTGTCGGCCTAAGCGTTGGGTGTGTCTTGGCCGGATATCGCTGGGAATAAACTTGTCTCGAGTATTATCCGATGCTTCCGTTTTTGTATCTCGTTAGAATAGGCACAGAGAACAGCACTCACTTTGAAAGTCTAAATGTGAAGCACGCGACGGACTTTTCGGGAATTGTCCGTAGCCATATCAGGGTGCGCACGTTTATCTGCGGTGTTGAGGAGTGTTCACTAGTCGTAGGCAGCAGAATAAAGTTTCGCAGATCGCCCATCTGTCAAGCTAAAAATAGGATTTCGGCGCTGTTTTTTTAGCCCCTTTTCAGCTGTTTGTTTACACATCATATCCTTTCCCCACAACACCCACTGCTTCATCCTTTTTTTCAGGTTTGCATTGTCCATATTATACTAAAATTAATAAACCTTTTCCCACACCATCTAAACAAACTGATGGTCATGCCCGGCGCATCGGTCGTTTCCTGCGCTGGCTTGACCAATTACAGGGACTCTGATATGTTAGGAACCCGGAATCAAATTGCATCGCTCCGTTCCAGCGCTACGGCACGGCCAAGAATCACCAAACCTTATTTGGTGTCCACCTTAAGTCTGTCGGCAGCAAGTAAAACTTCTAATGGGCGTATGCTGCCCACTTTCACGCCTTGTTCTTCCAGGCTGCCATATTTTGTATAGCCATTGGGTCAAGCTAATCGATCGTATTGATGAACCAAGAATAGCATCGCCGAGCGTTTACGATGGAAACGTCCATCGTGTCGTCACGGACGCTTTTTTATAAGCAGCACCAGTCAGTGTATATATGATCTCGCTGGTGACCGCCGCTTTCCAAAACTCGACACGATGTCCATTCAATTCAACCATCATACCGTCCATCGCGCCACGCGACGAATATCAACACTACGTCCTCAGTGTATCTTAACAAACTTAGGCCATAACGTCCCATCCACCTTCGAATAGGCCAAATATGTCCGACATCAAGAAATCCAAGCGTACCAAGTGTGCAAACTTCGTCTCCCATCCCATCTTCGTCTTGAGCGTCCGTACGCTGCAGTTCATCTTTGCCATTGTCGTCTTTGCTGCCCTTTGTCGATGTGTGTACTCCGTACTGTTTCTGGTTGTGCCATATTTTATCTTGTTTTGTTCCAGCTAACATACCCAGCGCTCCATCTCTTTCATGGTGACGTCGTCAAACATGAAGGCACCAAGACCATAACCGATCACATCCGCTTTCCCGATCCTTGGGGTTACCTTTTGTTCACCGCTATCTGGACCGCGCTGGGTGTTGTGTTTATCGTCTTCATTGGTATCCGCCATCCGATCCACAGCTCGTTCGGCTACGTTCGCGTCGTATTCGAAGTCGTAGCGCTCCTGTCGTGGTTTATTGGCTTCATTGCGTCGGCCGCCTACGTGGGCCAGAACGACTGCCCCTTGGAAGACGGGGTGTGTGGTTCCGTCAACTTGGCCATTGCGTTTGGCACTATCGAGGCCATTCTGTTCTTAATCTCTGCGCCGCTGACGGGCACCCAAGTCTTTTACCCAGGTGGCTTCGCAGACAACAACAACGACCACACAAGCAATAACCACATCACCGACTACATTACCTACCGCAGTGACATCCGACCTGTCCAGGAGAAGCAACCTAACGCTTCGTCCACCAAGAAAGAGTCGTTTGAGTGGTTGCCTGTGGCGACACCGTCGCCGCCTGAGAAGGTGTACGGCAAGGAGGGTGTATGAGAAGGTGCATCCGATATTGCGTCCACAGTGGAGAAAATAACGATAATAACGTTAAGACTACGAGCCTGGGGAGAGGGAATCGGATGGAATGAAACGTTTTCATACCCAGAGACTTATGATACGGGGCAAGGATGATGCACGTCAAATGTTTTGGGTTTTCGCTTAAAACTTATGCAGAGGTAATGTGAATACGACAACTGGTGAAATTACACAGTAGAGGATGGATATATAAGCATCACGTCACCTCCGTTCCTATGTCTTGTCAAACCGGATGAGAACATGTTACATGTACACTCCGATCGCTGGTATGTCGCCAGACGTAATAAGCAATGTGCTGTCGCTTATCTACTCAGTGAACCCAGCCGGCCCAACACAATCGACTAGTGAGCGCGTCTTGTTGGCACCCGGGACCTAATCCACAGTTAGCGAAGCTTCATCACAGCTAGGTACCCGTTCTTCTTCACTTACATTGTGCACGACCGAAAACGGATCCCACGAGGCATCCGTGTGCGGAGCGTACTCGACATTGCTCATCAGAGTATTGAGCGGGCTGTCTCCGTACAGCTCCCGCAAGAAGGCATAGGCCATGTCCATGCCCGCGGCCACGCCCGAGCTCGTCCACACGTTGCCGTCCACCACCCAGCGCGCGCTCGGCACCCACGTCACGTTCTTGCCGTGCGTGGCCGTCTGCGCCCACGCGCCCTTGTTGGACGTGGCACGGCGGCCCTCGAGCACGCCCGACCGCGCGAGCGTGATGGCGCCGGTGCAGACGCTCAACAAATACTCGAGTTCGGGATACCGCTCCCGCACAAAGTCCTCGACCTTGGTGTCGTTCTTCTGCTCGAGCGCGACATTGCCCGTGCCGCCGGGGACGAGCAGGATGTCCAGCTCGGGCGCGGTTTCAAAGGTGTGGGTGGCGACGACTTGGGGATTGATCATGTAGCTCAAGTCCATGGGCGGTTCGTTGGGGGCCATGTAGTGGAGAGGCGGGCGCGCCGACACAGGGCCGACCGTCTCCGCAATGGTGGCCAGCGTCATGTTCATATAGTACGACATGCTAAAGATCATTTCGAGCGGGCCAAACACGTCCAGTGGCTCGAAACCAGGGAAGAGGATCTGCTCATACAAAATTAGGACTTGCCCATATCGGAATGCGTCAGTGTATTTTGCGCAACTCACGTAGCCAACAGACAGAGTTCGGTTTGCATTTGCTTTTTGGGCCTCTGTCTGGCCTTGGACGGTGACCAATTGACCGGCTATGAGCAGTGTGCCCAGGGCCAGTCCATGCAACGATCTGCAAAACGTCTTCATTTTTCAATATATTTGACAGGGCCAGGAGTGAGTTTGTTTCAATATTATGTCGATGGCGTTATCTGTTTCTGTTTGTCCAGGATACATAACACTTCGAGGCGACGCTGCTCCTATATATACTTTCGAGGACGACGATTTGCTTTCATTGTGCCGTCGTTCTCGAGCTGGGCATGTCTTCTCATGAAGCTGCGTCGTCAGAGGATTCAACAGACCTTCGGATCTCCGAGGTGAAGGATGAAGCGGTATGGCTACCAAAGCGGATAACTACAATAGTGATGAGAGCGTTTGAGCTTGTAATTAATTGCATTCGTGATGCGTTTGGACCAGCAGACCACGATTTTAAAGTGCATCGCAACCATTCATTAATATTCTTTCCCTGAGAAACGATCCTTCCCAGGGATCAGGAGACGCACGATGCCACACAGTAGAGGGCAGATGGTGAGAAGTTGAAGATAACCCATCAACAGCCACACAGGCGCCAAGTGGGTGGATAAAGTCCTTTCACTCCGCAAATTGAGCTCGACAACTCTTGGCGATCCTCTCCATATTGCGGGACACGGATGAGGCTGGCACGGGACGACACTGCGCACATATGAGCAACTTTAAGATAGATATGCCAAAGCATATTGAATATACGCAGTACGAAAAACAACTCTGCATTGATTCTTTCTATCTGTTTTCACATATTTCCCTTTCATCACTTGTAGTTGTTCAACTTTTTTGGTACCATTGTTGATTCGTTTGCTCTCGGGCTCGTTGTACCCCTTCCTGTAAAATGTAAGTTGTGTCATTATTACTACTACTGTAAGCTTTTTTCACGCCTGCCAATACCAAAAATGGAGACTAAATATAAGATATTTTAATTTATTACGGAGGAACCAATGCACATTTCCACTGCTTCTCGACGACACCAAAGTTCATTTTGCGCATCGTTTCTCTAAGTTGCAGTTCACTTTACAATATGTTTACTGCGGTCAAAGTACATTCGTAATGCGTATTGATGGCTCGACCCCACATTTATCTCGTTCAGGTACGATTATATGTCCAGAGTCTTACTTGTACATCATGTGATAGTCACATGATATGCCTTGTGACCGAATTTCCGCCCACTGTCTGTTTTCGTCTTGTCTTTCAGCTTACCTCTCAGATTCATCCCTACTTCCAACGCGAAATATCCCCACGGGAGAGAGAGCAACGCGCCGTGGCACGAACAAGGCTTCATCAAGCCGTCGAAGAGGACCAGCAGATTCCATCAGGATGGGACACCACAACATCAGCGCTGTCCTTTCTTTGTTTTGTTGAAACTACCATTGCCTTTGCCACGGTGCTGGCCCTGATTGTGCTGCGCGGACACTACCTCTTCCACTGGCGCGTCGGCGCTTTCCCGCCGCACAAGCTGGCGGACTGGCGGGTGCGCGGACGCAAGGCGCTCATCCTGCTCCTTGTGGGCTACGGCCTCTGGAACATCGACCGCGAGTTGTGTGCCCAGCTGCGCTCGGTACGGGCCAAGATGGGGCTCCCGTGGGCGTGGCTCTTGGAACTGCACGGGTGGTGGCACGTCCTGACGGCCATCAGCGCCGACATGGCCATGAGCCTTGTGCGGGATGTGCGGTCCGAGCTGTCCAGCAGCGACAATGACCGGGGCGTCAATGAAGACAAGAGCAAGTAGGGCTGTGTCGTCAACTGGAGATATACGTGTATATGGTTGGTCGTGTTTTGACTCGTTGTGTTTTGGTCTATTTCGTGAACTTGGACTGCAGTTGAATGCCTCAAATGCCTAGAACTCTCCTCCCCGTGGACCAAACGCCTTAGTATTTGCCGTTGTAGCCTGTATTGTTCGCAGCCCCAAAGTAACATTAACGAGTCCCCAGTACCCCGACTGGACACCATATCCAGGACACGTGCCAGTAATACATTGCTCGGCATGGATATCTATTTTATGGCTAGACTGAGGGTCGTTGATATATTTCTTGTACGATCCATAGCCGAGACCAGCATGTACTGCTTGCAATGCGTGACAATCAGAGTCAAGGAACGAATCGCCGCCATTGCTCATTCGGAAGACAACCGCGCTGATTGTGGACTGGGTGGATTTTTTAAGATATTTCTAGCTGTTAGTATTGCATACCAAACATTGGACGTAGTCACCCACGACCGCGCCCTGGTTCACCGAGACTAATACACAGTCTGAACCCTGTCAGAACTGCCGTCGTCACATTCCGCGTGCAGCAAAACCCGAGGAGCGGGATGTGGAGTGTTGCGGTTGGCGTAGAAATCCGCAATGTTGGGGTTCCCACATGGCGTTCATGCGGGGTATGTCTTGGAGCGGTATGGTGAGCAGCGAAGTTCTTGGTATGGATTCCAATTTGGGGAAAAGTCACATTGCTTCGGTCACCGGACCTTTCCCGGGAGGACACTGCTTTCCGGGTACCGAACCCCCGGCTCGGAGGTCAGCCGGGTCTATGCTCCTCGGTTTGGCGAGGCTAGAGTGGCCATATCACATGTCCAAATGAGGAGCATCTATAAGAAGCACGTATTGTTTGGCGAGGCAGTTTTCTTTACGTCAGTGGGAGTAACGCATACAATTGTCCTTTCGGGAACCAACATCGACCTTTTCCAACTGCGCAACATGGCATCCCAAGACGCTCTTGCAGCCCTTGAGGCGCGTGTCGTGGCCGCCGAACGTCTAGCCCAGCGCGTAAGTGCAACGTTCACGAGACTATCTGGAGTATACAACCTAACACGCCCAGGCCCACGACCGCGGCGCCGTGGAAAACGTCTTTAGCCAGTACATGCACCTGCACAACGTCTTCGAGGACGAGCAGATCAAGCCGCTTTGGGTCGCCCGCGGCACGCCGGGCATCCACGCGCAGTACACCAACGTCGGCGTGTACACAGACTACGACAGCGTCATGAAGTACCACACGGGGCGGCCCTCGCCCAAAGGCAAGCTGATTCTGCACGAGACGACGACGCCCCTCATCGAGGTGGCCGAGGACGGCGAGACGGCCAAGGGCTTCTGGCTCATGGCGGGCGTCGAGTCGGGCTTGTCGGACCCGGGCAACGTCGGCGCGATGCCCGAGGATCTGTACGAGCCGCAGGACAAGAACGTGGACGGCAAGCGCGTGTGGGCGCACTGGGTGTGGTGCCAGTACGCGCTGGACTTTCTTAAGCAGGACGGCGCGTGGAAGATTTGGCATTTCCGGTGCCTCGAGGTGGCGCGCGCGCCGTTCAGCGAGAACTGGATCACGTTCGCGGCCAAGAACCAGGTCGCCTTCGACAAGGACCTGGCCTACTTTGGCGACGACGGCAAGGCCGTCTTTATGCCGACGCCCGACGAGCCGGCGACGAAGGTAAGCTTCCACCAAGCACGACGACCAGATCGATGCTGTCCCACCGCTCACAACATCAGAAAGCAGACATCTTTGGCCCGAACCGCAGCCGCAAGCTGGACGTTCCGCTGCCCAAACCGTACAAGACATTTAGTGAAGTCGAGGAGTACTGAGAGGAGAGGGAGGTGTATTTTCTTTAGGCCCGTGCTCTGGAAGTGGCCTTCAATAGATTTATTTTCTCTTTCAGTTCTTGTGACGCGTGACTACTCCCACTGAATGAATCTGTCGTAACGGATTATTTTTAATAAGAATGTATTGAAGTGTCCTGGGTTCGGATCATCTATGTGGCGCACAGCTTAGCCTGTATCCTCATCGCCACATTATACGCAGTCTCTCACAGCAGGCCCACGTCTGTACGTTCTTTCAATCATAATTTTACGGATAGTATGAATCTTCCCTAATTAGATTTAACTACTCCTGTTGTACATGTCATCGCCGCCTTTGTCCCACAACATCAGTCAGTCGACACAACACCGCGGCGCTCGTCCATGTGTGCCGCATAGCGACGCCATCGCGGGTTCAGCACGTAAACGGGGATGCCCAGGAGGAAGCAGGCGCCAAAGACGCCGGCCAGTACGCCATAGGCATAGGCGTACCCGCCCCTGTCCATCAGCGGCGTCAGCCCATAGGTCCAGCCAAACGAGATGATGTTTTTGGTGCCGACCACCATGACGAGGGCCGGACCGGGGTGCTTGGGCGCGGCCTCGGCGGCAAACGTCGTGGTGACAATCAGGACGGTGACCCAGGCGACCGAGTAGAGCGTGTAGGCGACGACGATGCCCCAGGACGAAGCGCTCGCGCTAGCGGCGGTGAAGCCGTAGAGGAGGAGCATGGCCATGCCCAGGAGCGCGGGCGGGACGAGGACAAGGAGGCGGTGCTCGGGCTTGTGCACGCCAGCGTTGCGCTTGGCCAGCCACAGCACGAGCCGGTCGCCGGCGAGCGTCGCGTACGCCGCACCCAGCAGCGCGCCGACAATGGAGCCGACGTTGACCAAGCCCACGTCCTGGGCGGCCCAGCCCTTGGCCTGGAGGACGGCGTCGTAGGTCAGGGACATGTCGACGACACAGCCGAGGGTGATGGAAGCGGACAGGACCACAAAGAGAATGGCCGGGGACGTCATGCACTGCGCCATGCGGAGCCATGAGAGGACAATCATGCGGAACGGGCGGGGGTGCGGCGTGGACCACGGCTTGATTTTTTGCCAGTAGCTGCGGCGTGTAGTGGGGTGTTCCGTGTCTTGCGCCGCACCATCCTGCTGCATCTCCATCTCCGCGAGGTGGACGTCGGCCTGACTGTCTGGAAGGACGTGCGTGACGCCAAACTCGTCGGTGATGACGACAACGCCGTCGATGCTGGTGGCCGGACGGCTGAAGCGCGTCTCGAAGCCGCAGAAGAAGGTCAGGACGATGCCGACGCCGACGAGAATGGCAAAAATCCAGTAGTACCAGCGCCAGCCCAGGTTGGCGCCGATGTAGCTGCTGGCAATGTTGAGCGCCGCGCTGAAGATGCTCTGCACCATCCAGTAGAGGCCAAACACCCTGCCGCGCTGGTGCAGGTAGGTGACCTCGGTGAGCATCAGGGGCAGCAGCGACTCGGACGCGCCCGTGGCGAGGCCCTGGATGGTGCGCGTGGCCAGGTGCGCCTTGTAGTTGTTCTGTGCGGCGGAGCCAATGGTGGCGGCCAAGAGCACGACGCTCGAGAAAAGGAACACGGGCCGGCGTCCAAAAGCAAGCGAGACGGGCAGGATGAGGTAGTTGCCGAGGCCAATGCACAGGTTCGGGATGGTGAGAAGGAAGGTGATGTGGTTCGCGTCGTAGCCTTGCGGCATGTACAGCTGAAAGAAGATGCCCAGAATGGGACCGAGGCCGCCAGCAAGAGCCAGACTCAGGAGAGCTGGGAAACACAAACATTAGCAGTGGACCTTGCACGGAAGCACACACACACACACCGTCAAGGCACTTACAGAACCAACAACAGCAGACAATGACGGCAGCCTTCTCCCACGTCTTGAAATTGAGGGGATCGTTGGGGTTGGTCGAGGGGATTGGCAGCCGGCGGATCTTGCCATCTCGGCCGACCAGAAGCGCATTGCCCTCGATGTGCTCGTGGGCCACCGCCACCTTGGAAGCCTTGGACGTGTCCGAGTGCATGTCCGACACGACGTGCGCCAGCTGCGGCTTCTCTGGGTTCTCTGCGTCGGCCATGGCGATGAATGGATGGTTTGTTGTTTGCCCTCCGCGTTAGGAAACGCAGATCCTTTGCATTGCAAGTGCTCTGCCAGTCGTTCCTATTTAAGCAACTAAAGGACCCTTAGTTACCACGAGCTCGGCTCCACGAAATGCACCCCGGAAAACGAATGGGGCTAGGCCCAGCATCAGCGCTGTCACTTCCCCGCACAAACTGCCAGACTAGTTGGTCAGGGCATGAACCGAGCCGGACCCACTTCGGAGCCGGGCCGAGATTGCGTGGGAGGCGGTTCAGCGCCATGTGCACTTTCGGAAGGAGCAGTCTGTAAGTGGAATAAATGGGAGAAAACCCTCTACGAGTATAAACGCATGCTCTGTTCGACACTCGTGCGTCTGTCATTGGCACATCATTGGGACATCCACTCCAGTGCACGCAAAATTCAAAATGACTACGACTGAGACTGTGACTGCTTCGACGGGCGCTGCGCCCGTCGTCACCCTTCCTGCATCCGGCTACCGCATGAAATGCGATGGAACGGATCCCAAGTTCGGCGACTTTCGCGACGACCTTGTCCGCGACGGCTATGCGGTCGTCAAGGGCGCTGTTCCGCGCGAGAGAGCCCTCGCGTATGCAGACAAGATGTATGCTCTGCTCGAGTCCTTGTACGTGTCCTCCCTATGTTCATGCACACCTTGCAATAATATGTTGTACTATCACTAACGCACGACAGCAACCTTGGCTACAACCGCAACGACCCCTCCACGGTCCACCCCGACAAGCTGCCCGTCATCAACGAAAAGGGCATGCTGCTCCCGTACGGTGCTTGCCACGAGGACTTTGTGTGGGCGATTCGTGCGGAGCCCGCCGTGTGCGGCGCCTTCGAAAAGGTGTACGGCACCGAGGATCTGCTGGTGTCGTTTGACACGATCAACTACGGCTTCAGCCACCGGGCCCACCTGCCGCCCAACAACCCGTGGCCGCACCAGGACCAGGACCCCGAGCGACCCGGGTTCCGCTGCCTCCAGGGCCTCGTCAACCTGCTGCCCAACGGGCCCAACGACGGCGGCCTGATTGTCTGCCGGGGCGGCCACGCGCTCAGCGAGCAGTTCCACAACGAGATCCGCGGCACCGAGGAGCCCATTCCGGCGTGGACCAAGGAGTGGTACGGCTTCACGGACAAGGGCATGCAGTGGCTCAAAGACCACCAGCTCGAATGGATCAAGGTCGACGCCGAGCCCGGTGACTTGATTTTGTGTACGTCTGTGTCTTTTTGGTGTCTGCCTGTTTCGTAAATTTTGGAGGTACAAGACTGACCGTCGGCAGGGGACTCGCGGACGCCGCATTACAACGTGCCCGCCACTGGCACGCAGGACAGACTCGCCACGTACACGTGCTTCATGCCGGTGGCCGATGCCTCGCAGGAAGATCTGATCCGCAAAAAGGCGGCCTACGAGAGTAAGCAAACGTAGTGGTTGCAACCCGTTTCAACGCACCAGTATGCACTGCTAACAAACAGCAGAGAGAGTCGGGACGACACACTGGCCCAATGCCCTGCACTCGGGCACCAACGAGGCCACTCGTAATGGCAAGCCCGATCACGTAAAGAGAGACAGGCCTCTCAACGACGCCGTGCTGAGCGAGCGGGCCTTTAAATTGACGGGCATTCCCTACATTAAAGTGTAACGGGGGAGCAGACTGTAGTAGATTATGGCTTTACGGGCATTAAATTGAGACCATAGATTTTCTTTAAACAGAAGACAAATTTGATAACACCTATTTTTGCAAGATGAAAAATATGCCTCCTAACGATTTCCGGACTACACCGTGATCCGTCTCCACATGCCGACACAGTCCACCAGCTTCTCGGAGAATAAAGAGTTGCGACACTAAGACTAATACCCCGCTTGCGTCCTGGGTCACCGAGAACGAAGGCGATGGCACAAGATATTAGTCCTTGAGGAGCCCCTTCTGCTCTCCAGCTGCAAAGTGAATCAACCGCATTATTTTCGAGCTTTTTTTTCAGTGTTTTTATTTTGTTCGTTTTGTTCTTTTGTTCTATTATTCTTTTCCCCCGTACACATCCCCATGTCGTCTGCCTCCGCCGCACCCAGCAAACGCATCCGTTTGAGCCTCGCGTGCAACAACTGCCGCAAGCGCAAGGTCCGATGCGACACCGAGACGCCCAAATGCCGCAACTGCTGGCTGCGCGACGAGGACTGCGAGACCACGGACCCGCGGTACCCGGAAAACGGGCCGACCAACGTGCGCCGATGGGCCACCAAGGACGGCCTGATGCCGGGGCAGAACCCGGCCGCAACTCATCGTAACCAGGCGCAGATTCCGAAACACGGCCCGGTTCAGGCTCGGAGTGGAGCGGACGCGTCCACCCCCATGAGACATGCCTTGTCCACGAGTCCCGCGGGCACCGCAACCAGTATTGGCAGTATTGGCAGCATGGGAAGCATGGGAAGCATGAACAGCATTGGCAGCGCCACGGCCGACACCGTGTCGTGGGTGTCCAGGGGATACCAGACAAGCATCAGCAGCATCAGTGCTGCTGGCGGACGCGATACTGGAATCCGTGCGAATGACAACGAGACCGAGACCGAGACCGAAACCGATGCAGACTTTGCTGTCAACACCGAGAGCAGCACGTCACACAGAATAAAGGTGAGTGTGAGCCCTCCCTGCTTCCAGTGTTTTTCCGCGTCTTCTTGCTCACATCCATTCCACTGTTTCCCCCTCTACAAGTATATGGGCGGCAGTAGTGTCCAGTGCTTGTCCGCCTTTGTCAACATCTACCTCCGCCGCAAAGGGCTCCCGAGCATTTCCTCGCATTTCCTGGGCGGCATGCGCCACGTCGAGGAGTTTCCTCTGCCGTTCCCGCTCTCGCTGACCACGCGGCTCCCGCCTTTGCCGGATCCGCCGGCCCTCGTCGCCTGTCTCGACACGTACTTTACGAGGATCTGGCCCATCTACCCCGTCGTCGACCGCGCCGCCGTCGAGGCAGACATTCTCTTCTTCCAGCGGGCCGACTACGTCGCGCCACACGCGCACACGCAGCTGACCCAGTCCCACGTGCCCCGTCTGGTCATCATCTTCGCCATCGTGGCCATCGGCACCGAAGAGGCGGCCGGCGCGCCCACCGAGCTCGGCAGCACCTTTGTCACCGCCGCGTACAGCCTGCTGGCCCATCTCGTGGGCACGCCGTACCTATCGAGCGTGCAGGCGCTGCTCCTCCTGGCCGTCGCGCTGCGGTGCCGATGCAAGGAAGGGCAGGCATGGCACGTCGTCGCACAAGCCGTTCGCGTGGCGCAGTCCATCGGCCTGCACCGGCAGATTCGCCGGAGAGACCAGGACGGGGTTGCAGGGGCTGCAGGGGTCGATCTGCACGCCCGTGTCTGGTGGTCGTGCTATGCCCTAGAAAAGCTCATGGAGTTAGAAACGGGGCGGCCGTCGGCCATCACCGACGACGACATCGACCAAGCCGTCCCGTCCAAGGAGACGTGCGACGTCTTCGCGCTCTGGGTCGCTCTGGCACGCATCCTCAGCCAAATCAGCAGACAGCTGTACCGACAAAAGCCAGCCTCGGCGTGGCATCTCCTATCCGAGATCGGCGCCCTGGACCAACAGCTACTGGCGTGGGAGAAGGGCCTGCCAGACGCGGACGGCATCACCAGCCCGTCGCAGCCGCACCAGCCGCACCAGCCGCACATTTCGAGTTTTCTGACGCTGCAGTACCATCAGGCACAGACCACCCTGCTCCGTGCCTCCCTCGTCTTCCCCACGCAGTTCTTCGTCGACGAGGTCAGGCGTCTCGGCCCACGGCTGCCCTCGTACGCCCGTCTCCTGCAGGCCGAGAACATCTGCACCGCCACCGCGCGCGCCACCATCCACCGTGTGCTGAGCGACAGCGAGGACGGCCTCGAACGCAGCCACGACGCCGCCGCGACGCTCCTTGTGTCGAGCACACAGCTCTTCCTTGCCGCCGTCGTCCTGGCTCTCCACATTGTCAAGAACCCCACCAAACGCCTCGTCCGCGCCGACCTCGAGCTGCTCATCACCGCCACCGAGCATCTGGAGCTGCAGTTTTCCCGCGGCGGCCAGCATCCGGCGTTTGTGCGCGGATTCGAGACGCTGCGGACAAGCGTGGCGGCCGCCGTCAGCAGCAGCGTGGAGGAAGAGCAGCGTCGTAGTGGTGCTGGCGGTAGTGGAGGAGCAGGGCCATCAAAGTCGACGCCGCCGGATCCGGGGCCGGACCTGGATGCCATGCACCAAGGAGACCGGGATCCTTACGTGTCCGGCATCACGCCGGACTTTTCCTTGTTTGGCGTGGGAGACGACATTTCCATGGACGAGCTGTGGGGCGCCATCGGGACGTATTCGCTTCTCGAGCCAGCCCTGGACCTGGATGACCCGTCACTCCAGCCACCCCCGCCTTGATGATGATGCGGCCAACCTGTCTTTGTAGAAAGCAGGCCGGCACCGTGACTGGTCAAGCGAGGTACCCAGGTTCTAGGGCCTGTCATATTACGTCTTAGCCGTTGGAAAATGTCTAGAAATAACACAACCCAAATCTTGAGCACCTGATCGTATAGTCGTCGCCGAAACCAATAAGTGTATTGTCACCCTTGGCTGCATAGCAAAAAATATACGGAGGAATCCCTGTACATCATAACTGCCCACCGAAGCTGTCAGTCGATTCCGTCGGCAATTGACTGGCGCAGATGCCAGCTAAGACAATACCGATTGTCCTCCCACACAAACAGCAAACGCCAACGGCACATCAATGGCCAGCAGACATTAGCTTCAACAGGCAACGGACCACCCGGTGGACGTTACTCAGCAACCACCTCAGCTCGACGCCAGGTACAAAGTCGTACGACACGGCGCTTCGTCTATATTCCGAACGCAATTCAAGTATCAATTGCATCCATTGCCGTTGGCATCGCATCGCTGCAACTGCTAATCAGTCAAGACACTGTTGAGATTTAACAAGGCCAACAACGCTCCCACCGCTACGTCATCATGACCTCCTCGCCATTTGCCGTGTACAACGATGCGGTCCGGTCGCTGTTCGGCCCGGAACCGAAACTCGAGATGCTGTTCGAGAACAACGACTACCCATTTGCGCACGGGGCCGGCGTGTTTGTGGCCCGCGACAACGTCCTGTTCGTGACCAGCAACCTGTACCGAGCGCGGTCTCACGAGGTCGCTGCTGCCGCGTACTCGAGCAACAAGGCCATCCAGATCACCAAGGTCAAGCTGCCGCCGGCCACCAACGGCGATAGCAGTCATGGTGGCAACAGCAGTGCCTACGGCGTCCAATGCGAAGAAATCAACCCCGAGGGCATCGCGATGGCCAACGGCGGCGCCCACTACGGCGACGACAGCGTTGTCTTCTGCGCGCAGGGCAGCAAGGAGCGCGTCGGCGGGCTGGTCGTGATGGACACCACGCCGCCCTATGCGACGCGCCCGCTTGTGTCGTCCTTTTTCGGCCGGCCCTTCAACTCGCCCAGCGACGTGGCCGTCGCCCGCGACGGCGCCGTCTGGTTCACCGACCCTAGCTACGGCTTCGAGCAGGGCATCCGCACTCTCCCGCAGCTGCCCAACCAGGTCTATCGCTACGACCCGGCCGCGCACAGCCTCCGCGCCGTGGCCGACGGCTTCGGCCGCCCCAACGGCATCTGCTTCAGCCCCGACGAGTCCGTCGTCTACATCACCGACACCGACGGGATCCACGGCGACGGCTCCACCGACCCGTCGCGTGCATCCACCATCTACGCCTTTGATGTCGCCACGTACCACGACCAGCCCTTCTTAGTCAACCGCCGCCTCTTTGCCATGGCCGACACCGGCATCCCCGACGGCATCAAGGTCGACGTCCACGGCAACGTCTACAGTGGCTGCGGCGACGGCATAAACATCTGGTCGCCCAGCGGTGTTCTGCTCGGCAAGATCCTCGTCGCGGGCGGCACGGCCAACTTGTGTTTCGGTCGCAACGGCGAGCTGTTTCTTCTCAACGAACACAAGCTGTGGCGGGCCACACTGGCCGCGTCGACCAAAGGGGCGCTGCTCGGCATATGAGTCGTCGGAGGCGGGACATGTGATCTGGGCGTGAATAACGAGTGGTGTCAATTAGTCATTTGAAGCAATTGGTGCAATCGAAGTGATCAGTCATGACCCTTGGACGCTAGACTTCTGTCGCAAGGAAAGGTACTGCCGTGTATAAATAACCTATCACGGTCGGCCTTCCTTTCATTCGATTACCTGAAAAATAATGCAGCAATCTCATCATCTTACCGTCACCACAACAGCTCTGAATTGACACATCCCAAATCACCCACCATGCCATGTCTCACGAGTGGCGCGAAACTGCGAACAGGCCCGGTCGGCCCCCTGCGCGACCGCTGTGCCCTCTGCTCTGTCGAACGCACCGGGCTGATTCTGTGTTCTGGATGCCGTGCTGTCCGCTACTGCAGCCGTGCGCACCAGGATGAACATCAGCCGTCGCACAAGCCTGTCTGCAATGGCATCGAAAGTGACCGCGAAAGCCTCGCTTACTGGGAACGCATGATTTGCAAACAGAAGGGAGACGTTAAGTCCGATTGCCAGGCCATCGAGATACATGTCGACCACCACACCGAACTCCTCGACGTGTTCAAGTACATACGCTATCGCTTCATTTTGGCCAACCATCTGCGCTTCATAGGCACGCCCGATGGCGTCCGCGAGGCTGCCGACCACATGTTGGACATGCTGCGGATGAACCGGGGCGACTACATGTTTGTGCAGCACTTTATTCCAGCCGCGCTGCTGCGGCTGGACCGCGACCAAGATGCGTACGACTTTATGAAGTGGTGCTCGACGCTAGTCGAGGACGACAACTACGACTGGGGCGCTGTGAGCGAGCCATTCATGAATCTCAAGGACGAGGACGTCCTGGAAGATCCCAACTTTGTCATGCCCAGATTTCCCAGAATCAGCCACCTGGCGTGCATGCTGCTCCTGAAGATGAAGCTGCTGGTCGACATTCGCGGCATCAAGACCACGCGTTGCATCCTGGCCCGCAACAGCCCGCTACCGCCAGAACTGATCCTAGCTATTGCGCACGATGTGGTCCGCAGTCCCATTGCCAAGGCACGGCTTGTCCGCAAGCCGTCCTCGCATCTCAACACCATCGAGGTTAAGCTAGTGCGCCAGGTGGCCCGGCTCGGTCGCGCTATATGTGACGACGACTACAATTTTTTTACCTTCCTTTGCGACCCCGACGAGGCCCTCGCCATGCACCCAGAAAGGTTCAGTTCTTACTTCTTCGACTACTCCTCGGTCATGCAGCGGGCGTACTCCGCCATCCGGGAGACGGCCGGCGTCTTGGAGATTCTCAAGGCCACGCGCCTGGTGGTCAAACGTGACTGGGAAGACAAGGTGGTCGATATGCTCGAGGACATCAGGAAGCACGAGAAGGCAGGCCACGAACGCACAGAAGCGGAACTTTTGTACGACGTCAGTCTCGACCGCATCTGGGATTACCTCGATTGGGCCGTGCAGGATGCCTCGTACCCGGGACGCTGGTCGAATCGGCCGTCCGAGAGGTACATAAAGAGGAGACGTGAGTGGGCAGCTAAAGAGGAGGCGGAGAAGGAAAGGGCCGAGATGGGCAGGGATACTGATGAAGAAGACGATGACGATGACGAAGAGAAGCGACAGCGGTGTGACAATGGAGAAAAATAATTCAAACGTCCGAAAAAGGCATCAATATCGGCCATCTAAACTACAATACACACAACATGAATCAAGTATGATATCGATTGACATCATTCTATCAAGTGAGAAACTTTTGCATGTACCTTTCGGCTGACCCATTATACGCGACCTTTCAGTCTATCGATCAATACCATCGGACTAAATTCCGCTCCGTATTGTCACAGGCTGTAACCTCGTATTTCACCTCGCTAGGTAAAGGCCATGAAAAGGAGACAGCAACCGCGTCGATGGCGGCTACAGATAGCATTATGACGCCTCCAACCGAACTTGATACTACAACGACAAGTAGTGGTAGCAAACAACAATGAGTGTATGTGGTGACACTCTCAGCCCAGCAAAGAGCACACCATTCCAATGATTCTTCGTTTTGTTCCAAATGAAGCTTTGCCCAAAATCGTGGCTCGAGATTATCTTTAAGCCACCTTGCATCCTCTGGATGTGTCAGTAGGAACCGAATATCCTCGGGTATGATGGTCATATCGCAACGAAGTTTTGACCGAATAACCCGGCGATGCATTGCTGCATCAAGCTGTGCAAGTTTCTTGCCTGGCAGGCGTCGAACCGGTCGCCTCGAGAAGGGATACTTTCTCAATTTAGATTGTACTTCCGCGGGCAAGGTTTCCTGAATAGCAATACTGTTCAAGCATTAGTAGACGGAAGCTTCACGACGTTGTGAGGTTCTGCTTACAGGGATTCTCCCGTCCACTTATACCACAGAACTGACGGATCTTCAGGAGGCTCGACATGGCCATGATCGATAAGGAAGTAGCAGTTACGGTTCGCATAACCAGATTCGTGACCGTAGACATTCCAACGGTCCTGATGCCAATCGAAGTCGCGGTTCCAGTGGTGCTGGCAGATGAGGTTTCTCATGAACTCGACTCGTTCGTCATAATCATTTCCTGGCACAAGACTCGTTGTTGTCTGCACCAAAATCCGCAATGGTCCCGTCCATTTTTTCTCCGGATCTTGTAGCGGCGCCTTTGGTTCCACGACGGATATTTCCATGACAGTTACGGAGAGATAGGGGATGGGAAGGGAGGGATTCCGCAGATTCCTAACGGCGCCGGCCCTTCAAAGTGGAGCTCATGGGGTTTGTGCGAAGGTGCGAAGCAATGTTGAGATCGATAGGTAACACGGAGCTGGGAGCTAACACAAACTCAGTACGGCGAGCGATGCAAAAGAGGCGACTTGCGACGCGGCATGATCACGACAAGGGTTCCACGCAGTTGAAGGCGGGAGACAACGGCGAGCAGAAAGGAGGACATTATGCGCGCAAAACATGCCTCAGACAGTCGTCCATTTTGGGGGGGATAACGAACTACACGCAGAGGAGTTGCTCAGTTACTGTTCGTTGTAGACATGTGGGGAGACAGCTGACTAATAACAATTCGCTGTATGCCTTTATAAGAATATTAGTCACTATATGCATATACCTAACATCTCGCACTGCCTTATCTTATCGCGATAGAGGAGAGCATTCGGTGGCTGAGATTTTTCCCTGTGCCCCACAATAACTTTTCCTGTATATCGTACTTTGTCGAATCTTTTTTGCCAGCCAACAACGTCGCGCACAACAGACGACTCGAACGACGGCCGCTTCCCCCGTCTTGAAACACATCTCGTTGTCCTCCCGCCGTTTTCTGTGATAGCGACACTCGATCGACACGACGAAAAGACAAACTGAAACGAATAGACGTTCCCCCCGAACTACAAACTCTGTCGACACTTAGCAAGAGACCTTCAGAGCAACCGCCAAGATGCCTCAGGTGCGCTTTCCCACGCGGGGTGGATGAAAGGACTATGATGTCGACCAGCTCATTGTCCGACGCAATACTAACATGGTTGTTGCCAGAACGATTACATGGAGAGGCACCTGAAGCTTCATGGTCGCCGACTGGACCACGAAGAGCGCCTCCGGAAGAAGACGGCGCGCGAGGGCCACCGCAAGTCCAAGGATGCACAGAACCTGCGCGGTCTGCGGGCCAAGCGCCAGCAGGAGGCACGCCGCAAGGAGAAGATCCAGATGAAGAAGACGATCAAGGCGCACGAGGCACGCAACGTCAAGTCGAGCGACGCGCCGCGCGACGACGACGAGGACCGCGAGGCGCTGCCGCACTACCTGCTGGACCGCGCGGGCGAGCGCAACGCCAAGGCCCTGAGCACGGCCATCAAGAACAAGCGCAACGAGAAGGCGGCGCGGTTTGCGGTGCCGCTGCCCAAGGTGCGCGGCATCTCGGAGGAGGAGATTTTCTCAGTGGTGAAGACGGGCCAGAAGACCAAGAAGAAGGCGTGGAAGCGCATGATTACGAAGCCGACGTTTGTGGGACCGGATTTCACGCGGGGGCCCGTCAAGCTGGAGCGCTTCATCCGGCCGATGGCGCTGCGCAAGAAGAAGGCGAACGTGACGCATCCCGGGCTGGGCGTGACGGTGCTGCTGCCGATCCTGAGCGTCAAGAAGAACCCGCAGGATCCCATGTACACGCGGCTGGGTGTGCTGACCAAGGGCACCATCATCGAGGTGGACGTCAGCGACCTGGGCATGACGACGACGACGGGCAAGGTGGTCTGGGGTCGGTGGGCGCAGATCACCAACAACCCGGAGAACGACGGCTGCGTGAACAGCGTGCTGCTCGTGTGAGTGGGGCGTGTGTCCCTTCGTCGTTTTCGTCTCCTTGTCTTGTTTTTCATCTACTCGGCGGTCCCTTGATCTGTATCTAAAGGGCCGTTGTTCTGGCATTTTGCTGCTTGGTTCGGCGTCGGCGTTGCTGTTCTTTTATCATAGGCTTTGTTTCTTTGTTCACATATCATTCTTTGACCCCTTTTAAGGCTGGTCAATTGCATAGATACTAAATACGGGAGTACTTGGGAATATACAACGGTTCTACCAGAAACTTTGATGCCATTTTTCGCTTTTGGTGAGGAATTGACTGCACAGGCGGGACCTAGACGGCCGCTATCGATTGGTGTGTTACAGTGGACCGGCTCCCCAGCACCCTGACGCCGCAGCCCACTTTAGCCTTGCGCGGGGTCCGTCTCAGCACAGCCATTCAGGTTGTCTTCATCCTCCTCCTTGACGACCTTTCCACCTTGATCCTGCGCCACCCAACTACTATCGCACATTGATTGTCCATCGACCTCACATTCGGCTTGCTGGCTGGCCCGGCGCTGCTTTGACCGTTCTTACCTTTTCCGACGACACATTCCACTCACGCGTCACCATGCAGTCTGGCATCTCAGGTGCGTATACAGAGAACCGTGTCTTCAACATGTCCTTCGTTTGCTAATGCTGTCCTGCCTCCCACAGCCTCCAAGGAGCTGGTCGCCCAGTTCAACACGCTGCTCGAGTCCGACCGCCACTTTGGCCTTCTCGCCACCATCACCGGCGAGGCCCTGACGCCGCTCGAGCTGCTGACCCCGTCCTCGGGCGCGCCGGCGTCTGAGGCGTCCTTTGCCAGCAACGTCGACGCCCTGCTCGTGCCCCGCCTCCAAGAAAAGCAGCCGCTCTACATTCTGCTGCGCCGCTACGACACCAGCCCGTACCTGGTGGCCGCGACGTACGTGCCGGACGCGGCGCCGGTGCGGCAAAAGATGCTGTTTGCGTCGACGCGGCTGGCGCTCGTGCGCGAGCTCGGCAGCGAGCATTTCCGCAAGCAGCTGTTTGTGACGGCGGCCGAGGAGCTGACGGGGGCCGGGTTCAAGAAGCACGACGCGCACGAGGCGCTGGACGCGCCGCTGACGGAGGAAGAGCGCGAGCTGGGGGCGGTCAAGCGCGCCGAGCAGGAGGCGGGGCGCGGCACGGCGACGCGCGAGATCCACCTGAGCAGCCATTTCAAGATGCCGCTGACGGATGGGGCGCTGGCTGCGCTCAAGGACCTGGACGGCGGGCGGACGCTGGTGATTCTGAAAATCAACCCCGACACCGAGATTGTCGAGCTCGACGACGTGTCGGACGGCCGCGGCGTGTCGACGGTGGACGACGTCGTGCGCACGGTGTCGGCGACGGAGCCGCGGTTCACCTTCTTCCGGTACACGCACACGCACGAGGGCGCCGAGTCGAGCCCGCTGCTCTTCTTCTACACGTGCCCGGCGTCCCCCGGCACCAAGGCCATCAAGTTCCGGATGATGTACCCGCTGATGAAGCGGGCCGTGTTGGGGGTGGCTACGGGCGAGGCGGGCCTGACGCTGGAGAAGAAGTTTGAGGTGGAGGAGGCCTCGGAAATCAGCGAGGCGACCGTGCTGGCGGAGCTGCACCCGCAGGTGGAGACGCGCAAAGCGTTTTCGCGGCCGAAGCGGCCGGGTCGGTAGAGGTCTGGAGATACGACGCGGTGGGCGAAGCAACGTACAGGTACGGTTTATGTTATTTGACTTTGAATTGCTTTTATACGTCTCTTTTATATACAAAAAAGAAGGGAAAGCCAGAAATGCTATTTCATAACCACGACGTCAAAACGAGACAGAAAGAGACAAGAAGGAAATGAAAATGGTGGCAACTGAAAACGATGGGAAACGACTCTATATGCATAGTCCGCTGACCGAAAACGGAACAAGGGAACGAGTGAGGCAAGAAAACCTGTCCCGAGACCATACTTTTAGCTGAGACAAAGGAAGAAACAAAAGAAAGACAACCCCCAACCGTCTACTCCTCGTACTTGTCTGCCTTGAGGGACAGCGGGCCGCTCTTCTCCAGCTTCGACCGCAGGTACTCGTACACGGTAAACGTCACGGCCTGGCCGGGCGCCACGCGCATAATGCGCGGCGTGATGCCCTTGTAGAAGGCGTGGAAGCCCTCCTGCTTGAACATGTCCGCGGCGATCAGCGACACGCGCTTCCAGGCGCTGACGCCGGGCTGCGCGGGCGTCTTTTGCAGGCGCGTCTTAATGGTGTCAATGGGGGCGTTGCTCAATGGGCCCATGGCGCCGGACACGAGGCCGATGAGGGTGGTTTGGTAGCCGGGGAGCGGCGCGCTGGCGTCGAGGTCGGGTTGCCACTTGCGCAGGGCCTCCTTGAAGTAGGTGTAGGCCGTGAAGTTGACGGCCTGGTTGCTGCCCTGGCGCAGGGCCGTCAGCGACACGCCGCGGTACAGCGCGCCGAAGCCTTCCTCCTTCACCACCGTGTACAGCGCGTGCGCGGCGTTGCGGTACTTGGGTATGTCGAGTGGGTCGGCCATGGAGTGGTGCTGGGCTTGCAGGCGGATCTTGATGACCTCCATGGGCGTGACGACGGCCACGGCCTCGGTGACGCCGGCGGCCAGGCCGGCAATAAACACCTTGCCACCGTCCGGGGTATTGTTGGGGCCCGCCAGCAGCTGCTTGTACCACTCAAAGGACGTGAAGCGGATGGCCATCTTGGGCACGATGCCCGTCAGGACGGCGCCGAGACCCTTGTACAGACCCAGAGGTGTCTCGCGACGGACAATCTCGACACCGGTGCGGACAAAGCCGCGGCGGGGCGCATCCTTGCCGCGGCGGGACAGCTGCATGCGGACCTTGATCGTGTCGAGCGGGTGGCAGACGAGGGCCTCCATCATGCCGGCACCACCGCCGGCTGTGCGTGTTAGCGGTTATCTGGAATGCCAGTTACTCGTAGCCAATGCGCCGGGCATCGTGCGCCGGGAAGGGTCTCGTCCGTCGGCGTTTAGGCCGGTAACAACATAAACAACAAAATCACAGCAAAGACTACGTACCAACCAGGTTAATGGCCGCCGACGCCGGCTTCTTGCTGTCTTTTGACATGTTGGGAGAAGATGTGCGTAGAAAGGGCAGGGGAGGAGAGAAACGTGAAACGTTGAGACGAGGCGGCCCGTTCTCGTTCTTTTCCACAGTCGTGAATCGTGAGTCGTGTCGTGTGATGTCTCGCTCAGGGCTTCCGCGGTTCTCGAAATTCGTCCTTTCGTATCCTATGGGGTTTTGACGACAACCAGTTCATGGACGTGAGGTGTGTGAGAGACTATCAACAAAGTAGATGTGTAATGCTACGCAGATATGAACATGCGAGACAACAGAAAGAAGAGGAGGGCAAAGAAGAAGAAGAAACGAAGCAAAAAGGGGAAGGGAAGGAGGAAGAAAATAAAAAGGAACGACGAAAGACGAACACACGACCTAAAACGAAAACGGAGCCATGAAAAGAATGACTCCAACGAAAGAAGAAAACAAGAAAACGGAAGACGAAACAAGTAGACGAAAAGGAACAACCGAGAATTGGGAGCAGAAAGGTAAGCTAGTCCAAGTTCGATAGCTTCATCGGAAAGGTCGTTGGAGCTTCAGTCCCGCGCCGTTTTGCAACAGAAAAACTACCAAATACAGAGTGAAACTAGCCGGCACATGCTTTTCACTACGGAGCACAGCATACTTTGTATGGGATCATCAACAATTTGCCCTCCGCGTTTCGCCGCACGCTTTGCCAGGAAGCGACGGTTTGAGTGGAAGGCGTCCAACAGGACAAGACTACGCATGACTCCCCTCAATGGGGATGTTCCCCACGGTGTAAGTGGACAAGGAAGGGGTAAGTGGGTGGCATTGGCTTTGGACTGGAATGGTCTGCTAATGGGAAATGGGGGAGGGGAGCTTCCTCGCTCCCAGGTGGCCGATCCGCGGCTGCACGGAGCAGATCGGCTGAGTCAAAGAACGCAGCAGGTGAAAGACGAGGCGCACAGAAGGCGCAAAGAAGGCGGACGGGAAATACAAAAGAAAGTGTTGTACTTCATAGTGCATGTCCCTTTTGCCTTCACTAAGACCAATTTAGTGCCGTTTTGTCTGGGCCTTGTAGAGGAAAGAGGAAAGGTACAAATAATTTCCTCCACAGTTTGCGGACTAGTTTCGGGATGGAGGTCATTTGTGGGATTTAATCTTTACGATTCGTGTGAAAGTCCAGGGAAAACGGAAGGGTATGTGACTGGACCACAAACGGAAGAGCTATCACTTCTTACCGATGATGCTGCCAATCCCAGGGAGCGGAAGACAGGTACGGCTGCGTGTACACTTGCTCACTTGTTAAAGAAGATGCGCTCACGCGGTCGTCTTGAGGTCGAAGCTTACATGACAATGTGACGGAAGGACGGACTGACGAATTGAAACACTGGGCTCTACAGTCGCATCCAAGTTTGAACCTGGGCCTGGGCCTGGACCATATTGGGTGTTCTGAATGGCTCATTTACTGTTTTCTCCCCTCCTTGGTGCCGGGCGGCCAAAAGCCGAGCACTCGGTGCAGCGGAGGTTTCTGTAAATGCCCAGCTAGGAACTGAGCAGCTGCAGCCACAGACGCGACTTACACGCAAAATAAATGCAAAAATGCAGTTGCGGGCAAGGCCTGTGCTTCTGCAAAACACCACACTGCGCATCAAAATTCTGTGTTCTGGCCATGACGTAGCGACAAGAAGCCATCAGTGCGACAATAGGATTAAGCCATCCGCACAGAATGGGCGTTGCTGGTTGTCAAGACAAGGACGACAAGAAAAGCTTGTGACAATGGAAGTGACTTGTAGACTCGCGCGTTGGGAGTGCCGAATGTGTGTACCACAGTGTCGTAGATCTAAAACGGTTAGAGCAGTCCAGAACAAAGCCGCATGCAGAAGGCACTCAGTTCACACGTGACGGTGCCGAATTCGTACATTCTCTCTCCCAGTCATCAAAGAACCGAGACAATACACAAAGACGGACAACTGATTGATAACCGTCCGCAAGACCATGAATCAGGGAGGACGAGGCAGAGGCAAAACGGAACAGGGTCAGCCAGAAGCCAGAAAAGCTTGTGAAAATGACGTTTTTGTTGAAGAGTTGGCTCAAACCGGCACATCGCCATCTGTTGACTGCATCCTCTGTCCAATACCGGAATATGCCAGAAGTTGTGCAAGGAAAGCACAGCTCAAGTGACCGCATGGCGAAAATGAACATTGGCGACGCGACCGTCGGTTTTGCCTTAACCGAGCTGGAAGCCGAGCTTGTGATTGCTCTCTGTGGGCAAGTTTGTCGTCGTCTGTGGATCTGTCCGCTGTGGGGAAAGACCGCGCTGTAAGTACAGGGCCCAACTGAGTTAATACAGGGCACACAAGCCAGTCCCGTGGTCCTTTTGTGCGACGGAGAAACGAAGGAATTACGAGCTGACGCACGCTTGCGAGCGAGCCCATATTCAAATGTTCTCCAGGGTCCAGTCCAGGAGGGCCAGGCGACGTCAGGATGGGCAGACAATGGAACGGAAAACGGCCGCCTTTGAAGTATGTTCAAATTGGGTGCTTTCCCCAGACCGTAAAACACCCACGAGGCACTCCAATATGGGGCAGCCACGGGTGTTTTCGCGTTGTGGTCATTGGTGACGTCCTTGCAGCCTGGACTGTATCTTACCGTACTGGTGGGGCCCGGCAGTGCGCATTGGGGCCCTGCAAGCCGCCTACCCCAATAAAGAGGAGGTGCCACTGATTGGCCCGCAAAGAACCGAGGCTGCCAAAAGTGCTGGTCCAGAGCCCAGAGGACGAGGACCGCGGACCGCGCATACGACATCAAGACACGAGTCAGAGAGGATCCATTCTCATTGTCGCCCGCGGTTTCTATCCGTCCCCCTGCTTCACTGCGACTGCCCCTCCACTGGCCATCGGAGCATTGGCGAGCGAGGCAAACGGCAAACGACCCCCCACTCCCAATGCCCTTGAGCTGTCCATGCACATCGGAAAGACGAACATCTTTCCGGGTCTTTTTGTGTTTCTCGTGGCCCTCCGTTTTGAGACATGGCCATGAATGACGACATGGGCCACCGTTTTGGACGCCTCTCGGCCATAGGGTCATGCGACCATTTTGTTCCATGCCAATGGGTTCACAGCCGTTCTCGGTTGGACAGTGGCAAAACGCTCACAATGTACTCCACACTCTGAACGGTATACGTCGTAGAGGTGACTGGAACTCGACAAATGCAGGCCGTTGATTGGCGGCACCGTTTGGTGGTTGCCTCTAGTGTTCTGGTACTGGCGACGACCTGACTTTCACATGTCGAGCAAGTGTCAATTGTCCCAATCAGGCAATCGACGTCAATCGAGGACCGACACGACAAGCTGGTTCCCTGTGTCTGGCGTGTGCCTGATGTATGCGTGACGATGACGACGGAATGATACATGGTTGCAACTGAGCGTTGGCCTACAGCTTTGGTAGGCCGTACATTTTGTAAAAGATAACTCTTGTATATTTGTTTCGTGATATCCTCGTGATATTATTCAAATATTTATTAAATATTTTTAATGTTTGTACTAACTTTTTCCATTTAATATTTTTAAAAAGAAATCACCAAAATACTGTAGTATTATTAAACAAAAACTTGGAAGGCCGAATCAATTGCATCCGAAATAGCAAGCAGCCTTGCTCCAATAAATACATAAAGTACCCGTCCTGCGAACGAGCCCGTTTTTCATATCGTTTCCTTTCCTGTTGTGCAGCCCATTGCTTTTTTTTCTAATTTGTTACCACCTTGAGCCCGTCGCAAGAAAAAGTGCAGCCAAGACGAATAGGACGAAAGGAAAATGGAACAAAATGAACAGATATTTTTTTTTGGAACACAACGCCGATCCTGTCGAGAAAACAGAGCAAGTGCCAATAGGGAATAAGAACACAGGGAAAACATAGACAGAGAAAAAAAAGCAGCCGCAAGCCTGTCCCAAATAACAACGCCACGCTTCGCGTTTGTAAGAAAAAAAAGAACAAGAGAAGGAAAACAAAGCAACATCAACACACATCATCGTCCCACAACGGCGGAGGCTCAGCTTGGCGTGCCGTACTCCTCCAGACCGGCCCGGTCCTGGAACGAGTACAGCCGCACTTCGCCGTCCTCGCTACCGCTCGCCAGCCGCGAGTCGCTGAGGCCGACACACGTCACCGGGCCCCTATGCCCCGTCCATGTGCGCTCGCACTTGCCCGACCGCGGCTCCCACACCTTGACCATCGTGTCGTTGGCGCCCGACACGACGCGCAGGGTGTCGCCCACCAGCGCCCAGACGCCCTCGAGGTGGCCAAAGAAGGTGCGCACGCACTTGCCCGTCGCCGTATCCCAGCACTTGATGGTGCTGTCGAGCGCGGAGCTCAGGATGTAGCGGTTGGGCAGCGGGCGGTTGGGGTTGCTCAAGAAGCCGGGGCCGTAGGCGGCACGCGTCGCGTACTCGTCGTCGCCGAGCACCTCGCCGCTGCCCACCGGGGACCCGCCGCGGCCGCTGTTGACCGACGACGTGTCGGCCTTGTCCTTGTGGCCGCTGGCCACGGGGTCTTCGTCGGGCTCAAAGTCCGCCGGCAGGGTCAGCACCTGCTGGACGTGGCCGACGTGGCCCTCAAATGTGCGGATGCACCGCTTGGACTCGAGGTCCCACAGCTTGACCGTGCAGTCGTCGGATGCTGAGAAGAGCGTGCGCGACGCCGTGCCGTCGATGCGCACCTGGTTGACCCAGTCGGAGTGGCCCTTGAGGGTGAAAGACTCCTTCGTCTTCAAGTTGAACACCTTGATCGTTTTGTCGGTCGAGCCCGACGCGAGCCACGCGCCGTCCAAGTGGACGCTGATGACGCCGCCCTGGTGGCACACGAGGGTGTTGAGTAGCTCGCCCGTGTGCCAGTTCCAGATCTTCATGGTGCCGTCGAGCGAGCCGCTGACCAAAATCTTGTCGTCAAACTGCAGCGAGCGGATGCCCTGCATGTGGCCGCGCAGGACACGCGTCTGCTCGCCCGTCTCGAGATTCCAGATGCGGATGGTCGCGTCGTAGGAGCCCGTGGCCATCATGACGTCGTCGATTTGCAAACAGGTCACGCCGTTGGTGTGCCCGCGGAACACCTTGACGGCGCACCGGCCGTTGCGCCAGTTGTAGCCGACGCGGAAGCGATCGCGGTAGACGTCCTTCCAGGCGCGCGGCTTGCGGTCCTGCTCGAGGGCGCGAGCCAGCTCGAGGTCGCGCTCGGTGGCCCCGACGCTGGAGTTGGAGCTGGAGCTGGAGCCGGCGGCGCCGGCATTGGATCCACCGCCGCTGCCACCAGCACTCTCGCTCGTGCTTGAGCTGGCAACCGTATCCGTGCAAGGGCGCTTGGCGAGCACGAGGTCGTCGGTGAAGAAATCGCTGGCGTCGCGCTTTAGTGGGCTGGGTGCTTCGCGAAGGGAGCTGGGGGCCGGGAGGGTCGGTGCGTGGGTGGGGATGCGAGGCTTGTCGGCGTCTGTCTGCTGGCCGTTGGTCAGCTGCTGGTTGCGAGTCCAGCCACGCAGGCGCTTGCGCTCGAGCAAGGGCAGACCGAAGCCACACTTTGTGCACTTGCGGTCAACTGTTGTTGTCAGTAGTGAGAACGACAAAAAAAGAAAAAAAAAGCGAAAACAAAAATACGTGGTAGACATACTGTGCTGCTCGCACATGTGATGCCAGACGTGGTCGTCATCGGCCAGCGCGCGCCATTCCTTGCTCACCACAGCAGCCTTGCAAAGGGAGACCGGATCCAGATAGCAGAGAACCTTGAAAGCCAGTGGAGCAGGTTAGCGGGGAACAGACGACGTTTGCATACAAACGGGGATGTAGGCGAGGGGGTGGGGTTACTTATCTTCTGGGGGCAGAGCGGTGATAAAGTCGATCTTGAGTTGGTCGGCCACTTCGCGGGAGACCTTGGACAGCTGTGGGAAGCAGCACTGGGTCATGATGCCCTGTAGCATCAGGTCCCGCTGTTTGGCAGGCGCGGCGGAGAACAAGGACCAGACGTGGGTGATGGCCTGCTGGTCGTCGGGCTTGAGGTTCTCGAGTTCTTGCTGGATCTTGACCATCTTGGACTCGTCGGCGGCGCGGCGGCACTTGGAGTCGGGGCGGTGGCGGTAGCAGTAGCGGCTGTTGGGGTCTTTGTTCTGGCCTTCCATGTCCTTGATGGTGCCGCGCTTGGTCATGGGCGAGTAGAGGCCTGGGATGTGGTCCTTGAGAAACGGGGCGACCGTCTTGCTCATGAGTTGGGAGGACATCTTGGGGCGACGGGACCCGTCTTCTTCCTCGGGCCGGCGGTGGTCACAGTCCTTTTCGGTGTCGGCGGCCTGCTGGTCGTGATCGTGGTCGTGGACGTGTGTGTGGTGTGGCTCTTGTATTGTCAGAGCGCTGCCGCGCCGTTCATGGTTTGATTCAATGGCGGTGAGGGACGCGGGGTCCGTTGCTGTCGATGTGTTGGTGGCTCCGACTCCTAATACGGAGGCTGCACCTGTTGCGTCTGGTGTTGCTCTTGATATTGATGCTGATGTTGGAGCAGCCGTCGACGTCATTGGCTTGATCGAGAGTGTCGTCGGATCAGAAGGATCAAAGGCGCGGAGGTGTGTCGTCGAGGAAGAGGAGGATTGTGAGGACGAGATATGGGCAGGTGAAGAGGCGGAGTGGATGTTGAGAGAGACTTGGGTCGAGGCCTGGGCCAGGCGGCTGTCGTCCTCGCTTACTGGTGCGTGCTGGCGACCGCCGCTTCCAGGCTGTGTAACGAGCCCAGGACGCAAGCTGGCGTGATCCATGGCGGGCGAATATTATAAAAGGCACACGGCAGTGGAACAATAGAGCAATAGAGCAATAGCAATCTTGAGCCAGATATTCGGCGGCTTACGGGAGAGCCGGGGGGGGGGGTCTGGGGTGTAAGGGGGAAAGTGGTGGATATGGCGACAGCGAAGCGACGGGAGACGACAGAAGAGAAATTCCCGTTCAGAAGATGAGCAGCGGACGCCGGGCGCTCGACCGAGGCGGTCAGCAACGAAAAGGACGACAGAGCCACTTGCAGGAGGGGGTGTAGAAGGAATCGTCAGAGTGCGTGAGAAAAAGGTACTTTGTCAGACAGCGTTTGCTGGCGTCCGACCAGAGTATCAAGCGTGTCTTGGACGATGAGGTGCCGAGACCAGAAGGGGGAGTCAACACAGGGGAACCGCAGGCCGTCGACGACGCAAGAAACAGGGAGGAGAGCGTCTTTGTTGGCGGGCACGGGCGTGCGCTGGCGGGCACGATGCGAGATGAGATGATGAAATGGCGTCTTCTCTGGGCTGGGGCAAGGGAGAGAAAGAGAGACGGGGGTGTGTCGAAGGCTCAAGTGATGGCCGCCAGGCTTCCTCGTTTTGAGTATTTCGTCGTCCTGTTTTTTATTTTTTATTTCTCGGTTTCTTCTTTTCTTTTCTTCAGTGGTATTTCCCTCGATGTGCGCCTCCTCTCACTCCCTGTATCTGTTTGTAGATGGTGCCTTGGGGACAGCCAAAACGAAGAATATCCTCCTTACAACAGAAACACTATGCGCGACCAGGGCCGGTGGGCCATATAAACGAGAGATGTCGTCAGAATCTGTCGCGAAAGTAGGGCGGGCTGTGGCCACCCGGAGGCGTTATGCGGGAGAGACGGCGTCCGATGGCGTGCTGGGGCAGGCAAGACACGACAGACGCCCAGAGAAGCGGCGGTCGAACCAGGGGGGGTGTGCGAAAGCGGTAAGACCTGGCTGCCTCTGTGTTTTGTGTTGTTTGTCGTCGCACGCCGCAATTTGCAATATTTGCAGGTCTATGATAAAGAAAAGGTCGTTCTGGGATGTTTTGCCCCTTGCGCGCGAAAAGCTGTTTTCGACCAGATACGGAAGGCACGGGTCGCAAAGAAGAGGCGTGCGATCAGGTGCGGAAGGTGCGTTTTTGCCGTGTTTGCAGGAAGGCTGCATAAATAAGGCAAGAGGCAGAGGCGGAAGGAACCAGCTCGAGATGCTCCGCGGAGTAGATATGCGAGAACCTTCAAAACAGATTGCCAACTCTTGGTCAGTCGACCATAGTCTTCATAACCCATGACCAACAAACAAGCTGGTCCTTTCGACATTTTTTGGCTGGCAAACTAACTACAAAAACTAAAGCACGGCTCTCGGGGCACCAGTAGAGCAAAGAAGCCGGCCCGATGCCCACCCGAGAGCCCTGTATCTCTTGGCTTGCGAGAGACAAGAGATAGTCAACGATAAAACCCCGACACAAACGTTTGAACGGCGACTACCCAAGCACGCAAGAAGCGCCAGACCAGGGTGGCTTGATGAGTGGAACTGGCCAGGCCACAGGAGAGTCGTACTGTTCTGGGGTGGTGTCGCAGCAGGATACGACAGGGCAGCAGAGGGCTGAGAAGGCGCTGAACAAAACGGAATACAGGGGACTTGTTTCGTCCACCGAAACATGGACGAACTAGAAGAGTCAGTCGAGCGCCACCGCCTTTTTGGTATTGGTGCTTTGTGGTAGAAATGGCGTTATTCGAGGACGGATCGAAGGCTTAGGTAATGTACACCATGTTAGTGCACCCACCGTATTTCAGTGTGTTACCTAACAGAGAGTACATGCCATATGTGGCGCGGGGTCATTGCATCAGAGCACGTGCCGTCACGTTTCTTGCGACTGCCAAAGAAAACCCCCCTGCAGGCACCTCCGACGCTGTTTTGGCTGGCGCCATTCTCTCGTCAGGAGTCGGCCATTGAGGTGCGCAAAAGGAATGGCGAATCCGCCATTATGACCTGTCGGTGAAGCTGACCTCACTGTGTAAATCACTGGGGAATAGCGATAACAAGGGAAGACACAGTGGAAGCGTCCATCTGGTGCTCCACAAATACGAACACAAGGCCAAATAGCCTCGAATCCAGAAATGAAAGCATTGGACGCGATATCAGGATTGGGCAATTTTGTCGGCCGACTTCCGCGAGCCGCGAACGATTCCGTTTGATATTGCCTGGTCTTCTCACCTCCTGACCTGTGTTACTTATCCTTGTCTCACTCTCACCCCTGTCTGCTTTGAACGGTTCCGAGTTGGACTGTTGTTGTCGGTCGACATATGTCATGTCGCCAATTTCCGGACAATGCGCTATTGTTGTCTGGGGGGAGAATCCTCACCCGTTCTGGTCTTCGTCCACAGCAAATATTGTGCCGTACTATGATCACGTTCATTGCAAAACAGCTGCACTGCGAAGGGTGGACACGTCTGCCGGATAGTTTTGTATACGTCGTCGGGTACGGAGTACTTTTCGGATAGGTTTCATTTAACGAGCTGTCTTGAATAGCCTTGTAGTCTTGTCGACACGATGCGGTTCAAAAAGTATGACATCCTTGTTTATGTACAGGTTGTTTGGTCTTTTGGTCTAGACCTTGTCTGGATCTTGGACAGAATGGCGGGTGTGCGTTGCAACTGTCCAAAACGGGACTCGCCTTGCATAGCATCGTGCCTGACTCGAACTGGGTGCATTGTTGGATCGCTTCGTATCGTGCGTGTCGTGCGAGTCGTGCGTCTCGTTTTCATCAAGGGTATCGGTATTAATAAGACAGCGGCGCGGTAGGTCCAGGGCTACGACGTTGGGGGCCATCACAGTCCTTGTAACTGCAGTACGGATACGGACGACGTAGACGCCGTCTGTCAATTCAAAAATCCATCCTGTTGTACGTCGTGCCTGACGATCGTGGTGGGACGTGGGTAAAAAAGCGCCGATAAGGAGTTCGCGTGGGGGTTAAGTGTGGGAGAGGTTTACAGCATGTCCACAGGCCGAGAAGAATACGCAGGGCAGAATGCAGGGATCGTGAACGGCGCGTGGGATGCCCAATAGAATATGCAAACATCCCACATTCGCGGGGCTCTGTGGATAAGAGAACAAGCATGCGGTTTGTTTGACAATGCGAATACCGACCGTCTGGTTGTTGGACCGAGTGCAAGGCCGGAATGTCGTTGATGTAGAAAACCAAAATTGTGCACGCCATAGGTTCATGTCCGCGTGGTGGCGGATCGTGTGGTATATGTGCCCAGCCTTGCATGAATGCAAAGGTACAAGAGAAAAGCAAAAGCGATTATCAGTTGGTGTGTCTGTCGTACTCGTTTGTGCACTATATCATCATCATACTCGTTATTCTCATTGCTTACTCGTTATATTTTCATTACATGTGCCTTGCACCGTACAGGTTATACGCTTCACACTCTTCTGCACGTCACGCCGGCCCGCCGACCTCGAGCACGTCCACGACATGCCCACCGAACAAACTACCTCGTAATGTAAAAGCCGCCGTTCCCGTACAGGTGGTCCCGCATCTCACCCGCTTCGGTGCGCACCCCGGCCCAGTGCAGCGGGATGCGGTCGACGTGTTTTTGGACTTTGCCGCGGGTGTCGGCGTACTTATCCGAGAGGCTGCGGCTCTTCCGGTCGGACGCCATGCGGTCGAGGGTGGCCGCGGCGCCCCAGGCGGCGCGGCTCAGGCTGCTGACGACGAGGGCCGCGTCGGCGGCGGGGTCCGGGTCGGCGGTGGGGTCGCCGGCCAACGACGACGCCCGTAAAAACCCCAGCAACAGCACCTTCAGTTTCGCCTTGGCATCGACGAGCGACGCGCCGGCCAGGTCGTAGAGCAGGTGGACGACGACGTCGTTCCTGGCCACGACGGACAGGGACGTCGTCGTCGTGGAGGCAGGAGCAGAGGCAGAGGCGGCACCCTGGCGCCAGGGCGAGGGCGCCACCGTGACGACGGCCTCGATCCAGTCGGACGGCAGGCGGCCGTCGTCGGCCGTCGCCTTACCGCCATTGCTGCTGCGGACGACGGACGCCCAGCCAAAGTAGACGCCGCGCAGGCGCAGGCGCACGTCGTCGGGCACGTCGGCCAGGTTGGCCGTGGGCACGCCGCGCTCGGCGGCGCTGCGCCCGGTGCCGCGGACGACGCGGCCCTGGAACACGAGCGGGAACGGCGGCTGGGGCCCACTGTCGGGGCCAATCACTTGGGGTGGTGCGTCGTCGTCGTCCCCGTCCCCGTCCTTGTCGAACGTGTACGCTTGGTAGGCCGCCTCGCGGCGCTGGCCATACGCCTGGCCGGCCTCGTCGACTTTGGTGGCCAGCACAGAATTGTCGTAGGCCGTCTGGGCGGCCAGCGTGCTGACGGTGCCGGGCTGGTACTTGCTGACCTTGTCCTGGACGGTGGAGACGATGGGCGCGGCGACGTTGGAGACGTAGTTGGTGCTGATCATGGAGGCAATCTTGACGCCGGCCTCCATGGGCAGCGTGGTCAGGCTGGCGCCCCGGAAGATGCTCGCGTCCGTGGACGTGCTGGCGACGCGGAAGACGGGGCTGCCGCAGAGGACTTTGCGTTTTCCGGGGTCAGAAGGGGGGGCGGTGGAGGAAGAAGCGTCGGCGCTGCGGCCGCCCGAGCACACAACCAGCCGAAAGTAGCCGTCTGCACACGCGGCCGGGATGCGCACGACCAGCGTCTCCCGCGGCTGGCGCTTGGCCAGGGCCTTTTCCATGTGCTTGCCGCTCGTCTTCTTCATGATCTTGGCAATGTCGCGCTGGTAGCCGCGCTCGTCGGCGGTTGGCAGAGCCGAAGCCAAGGCGGCGCGCTCGGGCGTCACGTCGAGCCAGCTGCCGCTGGCACCGACCAAGGTCTTGAGGCGCAGGCCCGTGTCGCCCGAGTAGCCGCGGCGCTGCAGCCAGACGGTGCGCTGGGCGGGGACAATGGGGTGGTCGGGGGTCGAGAAGACGGTGACAACGACGTTGGTGGTGGGTCCGCGGTACATGACGAGGCCGGCCGAGTGGCGCACGACGGTGTAGTGTTTGGTGGACTCGTAGGGCTTGGCGAGCAAGCCACCGGCAAAGAAACGGGTCTCGTCAAAGGCTGTCTTCCAGATGGAGGGTCCTTCTTTCTGGGCCGTCGGTGATGCAGCGGGAGAATGACCTTCAGTAGGCGATAGGGTCGTCATCGTCGTGCTCATGGTGCTGGCCGGCGTCAATGGACCAGGACTGGCCGTGATCCCAGGCGCAAACTGGCCAGCACCTGGCCGCCGGGGCAGAGGAGGGTTGGCCAGAAAGGAGGCGCTCGTGGCCGTGCTTGCCGTTGTCGTCGATGCGGTGCCTTGCCGCGGAGGCGCCACTCGGATGTCGTAGCTGTTCGGGCCCGCCGCGGCATCGTTCAACTGAAGCTGGTTGAGCCGCGGCGTCAGAGCTGCGACATTGGCCGGGCTGGCAGATCTGACCACGCTCTGGCCCTGCCCTGGAAACACTTCATATGCAGGAGGAGGTCCAGTCGGAGGAGGTAGAGGGCCAGCTGATGTCGGCGTCGGAGGAAGCTGTCGTTCGTCGTGGTGTTGTGGGGGGAGATTCGGCAAGGGCTTGCGCTGCAGCGGCTTACGCTGGATCGCCTGCGGCGGCTGCTTTGGGGGATCCATTGCGGTTATGTCGTCGAGTATCCAAAAGGACGACAGATTCTATCGAGTGACTGGTGTCGCTGTTGCTGGCTCGCAACGTCCTCGGTTAGCAGTCATTTAGCGGTCGGCGGTCAGCTTCAGCGCAGAGAGCTCCAGTGGACCACATCCGCACGGAATGTGGCCATTGCACGGCCTGCATTGACTGTGGACAAGTATGTCGTAGAGTGTAAAAGGTGCAGAAAAGAAACGATAGAAACGAAATGAGGATGCCGCAATTGATCTCGGCTTTGTTGAGCGTTGAGGTTTGTGGTTTGTCATAGCCGCTTAAGCCTTTTGCAGATCGCTAAGTGTCAAAACTCCCTACCCGAAACAGCCGCTTTTGGTTGGGGTAATAAGGCGGAAATTTAGTGGTCCCACAGCAGCTTTGGCGATGACGTCTGGTCTAGTCGGGAACTCAGAGTAGATATGGCCACGTGACTAGAAACAGGTCGCGACTGCTCCGAGTCTGTATGGCTTCCCTTGGTAGTCGAAGCAAAGTGAGCTTTGAATGCCCGACTTGACCCAAAAGCCGCAGCCGGTGTCGACATCGTCTTTCGTATCATCGTCCCTCTCCACAGGGACGATGGGCGGCGGCCACCAGAACCGCCGCTGACCATAGGCAGCTCCTCCTTCATACACGCTGCCGGTCCGGACGGCGCGGCTGTACAAAGGATCGAACGTGTTGGTCGGCAGCTCGACCGTGAGCTGGAGGAGACGGCTGTTGCGTCGGGTGACCATTTCCCCCAACGGCATGAGCAGCGCAGTCTCCACGTCGTCAAGGTGTTGGTCCGGCGCCTGGGACCGCTGGTACAAGCTGTCGCCGAATGCGAGGACCAACGACACGAGGCGCGGAAACGCGTCGACGTGCGCGAGGTTCTCCAATAGCCCCACCACGCGGGCACGGGCGGCCGTCTGTTCGTCGCTGTGGACGGGCCGTGCGAACAGGCACCAGTCCCAGGCGATCTCCAGGCGGAGGATGCGGTCAAGGTGCGCGGTGGGCACGACAGCGGCGACGCGGTGGATGGATGGAGACAAAGGCAAACGGTCGGTCGACGCGAGCAGGGCGTCGATGAGCTTTGCGCGGCTGAGGACGATGGAGTTGGAGCCGTACAGCACCTGAATGCCCTCGGCATAGCTGTCATGACCGTGGGCTTCTGTCAGCAAGTGTCTGGTGAGGTCTGTAGGATTCATAAAATCTGTGTGAAAACTCACGCCTGACGACATGTCCTCAGCCATCCAGAGGCGCCAATGAGACACTTGTCGGGCGCCTGGCCCGCGTACAGGAAACACATCGTGTTCTTCCCCCGAAGGCAGCCGTCCTCCCCAAGCGGCTGCGGCGGTGCATTGTGTTCCTTTGGCAAGTTGCGATGGCACACACAGCTCCACCACTGCCACGGCGACGCACCGCCGCCGTCGGGTGAAATGACACGGGCCTCGGCTGCTGCTTTCATCACGTCCGTCGGCCACATGCCGTATCGTTCCAGGTCCGCACCGAGACCGCCGTGTGGCATGCCGTTGGGCGAGACCGAACTTGGGTTCGGCGACCGCTCCGATATGGGCAGCAATGGCAGACTCTCGCGGATGTCCATGTGCAACGTGCGTCCGCCAAACGCTTCCACGAGAATCTGGTGCCGGATCTCGGGCGGCAACCGTGTGAAGAAGGGACTGGCCGTGGCTTTTTCTGGTTCAGCCGCCCCGTCGGTCAACGACACGCGCGACGCAGACGACCCAGGAAGGTATGGGAGAGCAGGATCCGAGTCATTGTTATGTGACAGAGTACTGCGACCGTTGGGATCGTGACGTTGTAGCCGCCGCATCAGTTCCCGCGCCCATTGTCTAGCTCCATGGGCCATTGTATTGTGTTCGTGTACTCTTCTCCGTTTCTTACTTTGTTTTCGCTATTAATTGTCCCGTGGAAGTGGCTGTGACTTTGTCGTGGCCAGTTTGGATGCCAAGCATGTAGCACACACGCTGTATGGAGTACTGTAGGCTCGAAATATGCCTGCTTGCCTTTCCCCCTCACTATACGCGAAAAACAGCTGTTGCCAGGCAATGCCCTGCTCCTTAATGATCCACACAACAGTTCCCTCTCATCTCAAGTCAACAACATTGCGAATTCAACAGAAAATGACTGTGAAAAATAAAAGTAAGATACCATGTCTATTTTTGGGCTTGTGGTAAATACTAACGATGCAGGAAAATGCAATGCAGAGTACAAAAACAAGATACGAATAGAAAATCAGGCCATCACACGAAACAAGCAGAAAAGACAAAACAAAAAGCACCGCCTAGCCTGAGAAACCAAATTCTAAGAACAATATAACTGCGAAACGCAATACACGCGCACGCAGTCAACACACGGCGCCGCTCAGTCCGAGAGGAACTTGAGCAGCTTCTCCTTGTCCACCACAGGCATCACCCGCAGCACATCGCGCACGCCCTTCCACGCCGCATTGTCCTTCTTGTTGCTGCGGATCAGCTCGCGGATCTCGGACGCCACCGCGTCCGCCTTGAGCGACTCCAGCTTCTCCTGCACCACCTTCTTGTTCTCCTCGTACCACTGCGCCACCTCGCGGTCCGCCTTCTTAAACTCCGGCACCGCCGACCACGCCTCCAGCAGCGTCAGGTGGCGCGCACGCGTCTGCGCAGCAAAGTCCGTGCCGGAGCGGTTGGTTGCCGTCGCCGGTGACGGGCCTGTCGACGCCGTCATGCTCGCCATCTTGCGGAGAATGTACTCCTCGTTGAGACGGCGGCGCACGCGCCAGTAGAAGAACCGGCGCGCGTTGCGCAGCTCAAGCACCTCCCGGATAGTGCCCTTGGCCTTCATGCGGCCTGCGCGGTCGTGCAGATCCGCAAACTGGATGGCCAGTTGCTGGTAGATGGGCAGCAGCTGCTGCTCGCGCGCAATCAGCTTCTCCTTGATCTTCTCCACCTCTTCGCTCGACGCACCGCCCTTCTGCGCCGCCACAATCTTCTTCTTCAGATCCGAGTAGGTGGGATCCAGGCGCGCCATCGTCTCCAACTGCTTGTCCTTGCGGTACTTGATGCCGATCATACCCTCCGGCTCAAGAACACCGCCGCGCGCCTCCTGATCAGCATACATCTCCATCGCCGTCGGGTTGATGGTCGGGTCCACAACCACCCATGAACCGCCACGAAGTTCGCAGAAAGGCGGGATGTACACGAAGATCGGCTGTTCGTACTTGACTAAGGCGTCGACGATGAAGCTGCCGTACTTGAGGACCTCGTTGTACATGTCGCGTTGACCGCCTGAGAAACCACGCCAGTTGGCAAGGATCATCAGCGGCAGCTGCTCACCGTAGTTGAAGTCGTTGATCGCCTGCGCCGTCTTGAAGGCAGAGTTCGGGTACCACACACCACCAGCCTCGTTGGCCACCTGCTCGATCGAGTCGGGGTTGGCAGGGTCAGCAGGGGTGATGTTCTCGACAGCGCGCGTCTCGACCGCGATGACACCCATGGGGATGCCGCCGAGGCGAGCACGACCAACGACCACCGTGCGAGCCCAGCCACCCAGCGTCTCCACAAAGGAGTCCTTGTCGAACAGTCCCGGCTGGAAGTCGCCGCCATCCTGTTTGCCGGAAATCATCCAGCGCACGTCGTACGCCTCTTTCTGGGGAGGCGTGTACACGACGTCACGATCCCACGAGTCTGTGGAGATCGAGATGGGCACCGGGTTGTTGCGCTTGTCAGGAACAAACGACATCCACTCAACAATGCGCGAGATGCCCTCCATATCGTCACGCGCAACCATGTGCGAAACACCGTTGCGGTACATGATCTGCGTACCACCGAGCTGCAGGTTGGACGTATACACCTCGCGACCGAGGAGGTTGTTCAGAGCAGGGGCGCCTGTCAGGATGATGGGCTGGCCCTCAACCTGGACAGCACGCTGACCCAGGCGGACGAGGTAGGCACCAATACCAACGGAACGGCACGTCACGAGCGTGACGGTGAAAATGTCATTGTAGGCACGGCTGGTCGCACCAGCAATCAAACCAGAACCACGCAGACACTCAACACCCAGGCCATCCTCGTCACCGACAATCGTGACAATCTTGTGGTGCTTCTCGCCATGCTCCGATACCTCCTCTGTAATGACGCTGTCGTTGAACTGCTTCTTGGCCGCATCGTCCAGGTACAGGTACTTGAAGCCCAACTCTGGCTTGGCGGGGTTGTTCCAAGCAACCTTGAAGTACGGCATCAGCTCGTTGGCGAGACCCAGGCGGGCACCCGAGTTGGCAGACAGGTAGATGCGTGGGATGCCCAGCTTGCGAGCATACTCCGTGCACTTGTTGAAGAAACTGTCCTCCTTGGGACCAAACGAGCCAATATTGTACGTGATGTCGTTGGCCACAATGATGAACTGGCGGCCTCTCGGGTATTCGGGCGTGCGGGCTGTGATAAGCCAGCCGACCATGCCGCAGGTGTTCATGCCCGCGTCGCGCGAAACTTCAGCCAGGTTGTCGTGGTCGTCAAGAACAAGCTCGGACATGTCGATACACTCGCCAACCGGGGGCTGCTTGTCGGCCAGCGCGGGGTTTTGCTTAACAGCCTTCACCCAGCTGTTCTGGACGGCCTGGCGGAACACCTCGGGGAAATCGTACACGTACTGCGTACCCATCAGGTGGGCCTTGTAGCGCTTAGGTTGCAGCCAGTTCTTGGTCGGGTACGGGGTCGACACAGGAAGCAGGTGCATCGATCCTATCTTAGTGGTGCCTGTGATGGAGTGGAACACCCAATCGCCCTTCTCAGACTTCCGCTCCGCGTAGATCTCGACCTGGATAACATAGCCAGAGGTGTTCGTGATCAGGACACGCAAGGGATACGGCATCCCAGTCTCGGGGTCGGTGCAAATGATGCGAATCTCCACCTGCGCAACACGAAGGCGCCAGCCACGCGGACCGAAACGGTCCAAAAAGCCCTGCAGAGACTGCTCAACCTCCTCGGGGCGCAGCTGGAAA